CTGGGAGCTCCGGGCCTTTGGATCTCTGGGTCCCCAGAGACTCCAGTATCCCTTAATTGAATATACCTTAAATTACAGTAGGGATCTCTAGTATGATTTAAGGTATATTCCTTAATAAGTTATTGGAGTCTCTGGGTCCTGGACTGGCCAGCAAAGCATCAAGTCCTGCGCACGCGAGTCTTGCTCCTGACCGGTAAAAGAGTGGACAAAGCCAAACGGTTCGATAGGCTATAGTATTTGGACGAATCCGAACCTAAAGAAACGTAAATATCTGCAAATGTGTAGTATCTGTTACAACTACAGTGGGAGTATTGTAGGCTTCAACTTGTTATCACTTGTGCAGCCAGGAGACCATCGCCCACACGAGTCCAGTCTGAAGACCTGGGCTGGCTTCCGACGCCCCGACACCCCCCCCTCCCGCCGGCGTGGACACCAGCCAAGTTAGATGGGCCCATCGTTTGATGCAAACTCCTCTCTTGTCCAATATGCCAATATTGACCGTCTTTCCGGGCCGTTTCTTTGAGTCTGAACTTGGCAAGGCAAGATGTCTTCAAGGCAAAATAAAACGTTCTGCCAGCCGCTGAGGGCCCGGCGCACGAGGCAGTGGCGCTTCAGGAGCGTCAGCCTATTCTTATCAACAGCCCGAGTTATTTTCACACGAGGTTCCGTCGTTCACATGTGCCGAGACTCCACTGGAGCTCGTCCACTCTCCATCATGTCAGGGGCGCTTGCGCAGCTGATGGCAAAGCTGCATTGCTTGGCTCTTCTTTGCTTTGCAACGTCTTGACACTGGACACTGCCACTCACCCTGCTCTCTTGTCGACACTCGCATCCACGAAGCTTTGAGCCGATGTGCGACAACAAAGTGGCTCTCTGAAAGGTGCTGTCCAAGTGGGGCAAACAAAGACAAGACCCTCAGGTAAGGCTGATGCAGACCCCACACACGTCGAATGGATCAAGAATCCCAACACTAAGAGTGGACTACCAAAGATAAACCCGCGGTGAGATTTCGAACATCAAAGGTCAGGAACTCTAGTGAAGCGTGCCATGTGTTTCTGCACCATTTTTCGGATGAAGAACACTTTGATATTACATCTTCGGAGGACTCGCGCAAAGGCCTCCGGTTCTCAAACCCAGCTAAAACATGTGCTCTCACGCGCGAAATCAGTTGTGGCTGTTGCAGCGCAACATGTGCAGGCATGGGTGGGCAAAGCATGAGACGTATGTTTTTAGCCTATGCAGGCAGCCGATGGGCACCTAGACCGGGTATTGCTCCCAGGAGACATGGCGGAGGTGGAGCAGACCACTCTTGCAGGGTCTCTTCCACAGATTTGGCACGCAAAGCGGGGCCACTGCATCAGCAGCCAGGCATTGAAAGAGTCCAACTAAACAGTCACTGCGGAACGCTCAATGGATGCTCACTTCGCTGCGGCTTTCCTTAGTGACCAACTGGAAACAGAAACCACAAAAGGCCCAACCGCGGCTGAAGTGTCGAGTACATGAAAGTACCTCAGGAGTCAATTACAATGTCAAGGTTCATGATGGCCAGACGCGGACTTCAGACCACGAATTTGGAGTCGGAGCTCCTTCACCAAAGAATTCGAATTAGCTTCCCTACGGTGCGAGTGGACATGTACCCAAGGCATCTTACTGTTAGGAGAAAAATTCGCTTACCCTTCGTACTGAACCCTCGAGGATCCGATCGGTCAACATGGGAGTTTCTGAAAATGGGGGATCCTAGTACCCCCAATAGTAGGACCCTTTTTTATGAGAAGGACCCCAAATTCAGGTAGCTCGAAGTTTCGGAAACTCCAACATTCCTTGGGCAGGATGGTGCCAAGCTCTCGGAAGGGTAGCATCCAAACCCATCCACGCCACACGGTTGTGCATCTGCCTTCCCGCGGTGAGACAGAGACTGGGTGGCAGTTTCGGGGCCCTTAAAAACCATTTTTGAATGGGTACCTCTATATGAGGGAAATTCAAAAGTTTCCGAATGTGCCACCTAGGAGAGGACGTCCAGACGAGAAGTGTAGCAGCATAGTAGGAAAACAAAAAGAGTTTGGTAACGACGCTATCACCTTCAGTGTTGCATCCACTCACCCTCAAGCTCAAAAAAACACACATAGGTCGTGTCGGCCTGCAACTGTTTGCGCTCAGAATACCAACTGTCCAGTGCTACAGCTCCTCCGTTCAGGGAACCGGCAAAACCGATTCTCATTCTCAGCAATTAGGTCCTAGGTCATGCTTGTATTGCTTGTATGCCTGGAGCATGGAGCAAGATTAAAAAAAGGAGGATCGCCTGCTTCACGAAGGTGCAGTCGTTCTTGTGGCATGACTGGTGCGACACTCCCGCTCCGCGACCTTGGAGACATCTGTGGCCGTAATTACACAAGATTCAAGCGCATTGGGCCTATACTCTCATGGAAAGGCTTTCAGTTATGGCTTTATGCGAAATTCTATCTCAGCATGGGACAGGAGCTCGGCGACAGTGGCGTGTGCTGTGGCCCGCCAGGAGGCCTCGGGTTCATGGGCTCTTTCTTGCAATTCAACCATTCTAGTACCCTTGTAACAATTATAGAGTCCTTACAGCAGCCTCATTATATAGATCCCTTTTCGTACCCTGATTATAGATCCTTCAACTCATCATTTTCTCCCAAATACGGGGAGCGTTCGTGGATCACTGACTCCCGGGGTTGCAGGGCAGTTCGGAGAGTCACCCATGTCAGATTTTTCATTTCAAGTAGGAAGACAACACAAGCATATTCGCTCCCATTGTCTGGCAAGCTTGTCCAGCGCGCGGAAAGCACAAAGTTGTAGCGCAAAAGGAAACATTCAACAGGCGATGATATTGCACTTGCCATGTCCAAGGAGTGATTCAACCTGCTTGTCATAGACGACTAGGCTGTCCAAAGGACCCTCTCACCGGCCCATGCTTAGGCCATTGTCCGGGAGGGACGTAGGTTGATCTGCTGGAACCAGTCATATTGACTATCACCGACCAGGCACCCCTGCCCGAAAAACCAAGCGCATGTCAAGGTGCACAACTGAGACCTTTGCACTCAATACCATAGCTCTGTGTCAGAGGACACAAAACCTTCGACCTGTACCCGTTTGCAAGCCTGTGGTATGGAATGCTGGGCCGTCCAAAGGACTCTCTCACTGGCCCCTGTTTTCGCCCATTGTCTGGCGAGGGGTGTAGGCGAACCTGCTGAAACCAGCGACAAATGGTCTCCGGCCAGGCACGCCTGATGGGCAAAGCAAGCAAAGCAAGCACATCTCAACGAGAATTGCACCCTCTGGCACAGCCAACGGGCAACAACCATGAAACAGCTCCCGACTGGCGTCATCCGTCTGCACAAGCTGAATAAAGGAACTCATCGTAATGGCAAGCAGGCATCTCGCACACATTGTCAACCCCAAATTCTAGTCTTTGGTTTCACTGCGTCGACAGCTGGTTTTGACACATATTCGATGGACAATGGACAAGCTCTGTAGTCGCAGTCATTCTGACGCGTGTATTCGACCTCGAAGACTTCAGCTGGACGGCATCCAGCTCAACCCTGATTGCCACAACCACGGCAGGAATCAGTGAGATCCTTGTTTGCCATGTTGAGTCGATCTTGAGGACTGCTGAGTGGCACTCCGCCAGCCCATTTTTATGTTTCAAGTACAACGCATGAGCGAAACACTGACATGCCTCCTTGAATCAATGACTAGCACCGGATTGCAGCATTCCGACCCAAGAGGAAATGTCAACAGGCGATGGTAGTTGCGCCAGTTAACCGGACGGCATGCGCTAGGTCAGGGAGGACACCTTCAACCTGTAACCGTTTGCAAGCCTGTGGTATGGAATGCTGGGCCGTCCAAAGGACTCTCTCACTGGCCCCTGTTTTCGCCCATTGTCTGGCGAGGGGTGTAGGCGAACCTGCTGAAACCGGCGACAGATGGTCTCCGGCCAGGCACCCCTAATGGGCAAAGCAAGCAAAGCAAGCACATCTCAACGAGAATTGCACCCTCTGGCACAGCCAACGGGCAACAACCATGAAACAGCTCCCGACTGGCGTCATCCGTCTGCACAAGCTGAATAAAGGAACTCATCGTAATGGCAAGCAGGCATCTCGCACACATTGTCAACCCCAAATTCTAGTCTTTGGTTTCACTGCGTCGACAGCTGGTTTTGACACATATTCGATGGACAATGGACAAGCTCTGTAGTCGCAGTCATTCTGACGCGTGTATTCGACCTCGAAGACTTCAGCTGGACGGCATCCAGCTCAACCCTGATTGCCACAACCACGGCAGGAATCAGTGAGATCCTTGTTTGCCATGTTGAGTCGATCTTGAGGACTGCTGAGTGGCACTCCGCCAGCCCATTTTTATGTTTCAAGTACAACGCATGAGCGAAACACTGACATGCCTCCTTGAATCAATGACTAGCACCGGATTGCAGCATTCCGACCCAAGAGGAAATGTCAACAGGCGATGGTAGTTGCGCCAGTTAACCGGACGGCATGCGCTAGGTCAGGGAGGACACCTTCAACCTGTAACCGTTTGCAAGCCTGTGGTATGGAATGCTGGGCCGTCCAGAGGACTCTCTCACTGGCCCCTGTTTTCGCCCATTGTCTGGCAAGGGGTGTAGGCGAACCTGCTGAAACCGGCGACAGATGGCCTCCGGCCAGGCACCCCTAATGGGCAAAGACAAGCAAAGCAAGCACATCTCAACGAGAATTGCACTCCCTGGCATAGCCAACGGGCCAAAACCTTGAAACAGCTCCCTGCGATTGCGACTGGCGTCATCCATCGGCTCAGCTAAGAACTGAGTAAAGGTCGCATCGCAATAGCAAGCAAACATCTCGCATCCATTGGCAACCCTAAAATCTGATTTCTGGCTCATTCTGTCGACAGTTGGCTGGCGTTGGGCACACGGTTCGATATCCTCCGGATAGGTGAGGGACAGTCGTACGTATATCTGCTGAGGATCTACATCCATTCAATGCAATTCATGGCTGCAGCCTTTCGAAGCTTCCATGCTTCAGTTGCAAGAGTCTGAAAGCAGGCTGCGTGCAACTGAGGCGCCCCCCGACGTAGTCAGCCTGCCAAGCATTGCTACTCGAGTGCTTGAAGGCTGGGACCAGACTGAGGCCAGCCAATGCAGGCACATCGATGTCTCTCTCCCGACTCCCGAGAGAGAGAGAGAGAGAGAGAGAGACGCGAAAAAAGCAACAAATATAGCAATAATATATATATATATACATATATAATATTGTGTGCAGGCCCTCGTGCTTCTTGAAGCCTGGCAGCTGTCTGTCCAAGCATCAGCGCAGAGAGCCCGGAGTGAAGCTGGTCGTCCTCCACGACAAAGAAAAGGCCCCCCCGGCCGTTCTGGGAAACATGGCAGGGCTCCTGCAAGCTTAACAACAAGTTTCCGTGCAGGCCCTAAGCAGGATCGAAAATGAAGTGGTGACTGACCGTGACCCATCTTTTGGAACCCCTGGCATCACCAGGCATGCCCAGGCTTCCCTGCTGGTTCATGTCGCCAAGGACTGCCAGCTTCGTTCCAGAGAGGCTGACCCCCAACTTGGCATGATTGGCGTTAGGGCTCGGGTTGCCGCGGAGGCTGAACTTCTTGCCATTCCACTGTCCTGTCAAAGCCACCTGCACTTCACCGGGTGCAGACTTGAAGTTCGGGCTCCAGCATCCTGGAACAAATCCGGCTCTTGTGGAGTTGATCTCGGGTCTGTCCCACCAGGTGGCAGTGCGCAGCGGTTGGCCATCTAGGAGCGACGAAACCATGTGCCAAGGTGGCACGTGCAGCCCTGACGGCTTACTCAGAAGGCGGATCTGGCTCCTGGCCGTCTTCACGCTCAGCATGCCCAAGAACGGCTCTGCGACCTGTTGCACGATGCCAAGCTGCTTGGCCAAGCTGGCTAGATCAGCCGGTCCACTGCTCAGCTTCACCAACTGACTGTTGCTCGGGTCGGTGGCCACAGAAGCTCGCTGCAATGCCTGGAGAACCAAACGGGTGTCATCGCTCGTAGCTAGACGCAAAGCAAAGAAGTGCTGCGCCACCCTGATGTTGTCAGCCTGCGCACGTGCTGGAAACGAGCGCACACGGAACCAACACTCGCACACATATGTACAAAAAGAGGAGAGAGAGCGAGAAGGTGATGGCCAACAACAGGACCCAAAGCCTGGCAGCATCCGAGCGTGTTTCCTTGCTTCCGAGTCCTGGACTTGGAGCCAGAGCCTAAGACAGAAGTCAGATCAGAAGATCCAGAACAGCTACTAGCTAGTCATCATCCGTTGTGTGGACTTTCACGCGCCTGGCCAGTCTGGCGTGGACACCTGCATGACAAAGCCTGTTCCGTGTTCACCCCAGGCCATAACTCCCTTGCCTCAGTCTGCGGTCGACTCAGGGCTTCCAGTAGCTTCAGTGTGTCGGTACCGGCGAGTGTAGTAGAGCCGCTTAGTTTGCTTAAACGACTTTTCCAACCAAATCCCTGGTGTATTCCTGTCGAGCCGCTGTGCCCCCAAGGAGCCGGGCAGACTCTGCCACACTTCGGCTTCACGTTCAGCAACGGGTCACCGTAGAATTGGTCATTCCAAATCACGTAGTTCGGCGCAATGCCAGAATAAACCTCTCAAGGCCAACTTGTATATGTGCAAGATTGCACAAGTACAATGCGAGGGTCAGTCCTGTCACAAGCTGTACCTTCATGTAAGCCAGCAGCCCTACGAGTATCACTTCACGAAAGTCTCGCTGCTCCTGATGCTGCCAGCTGCCATCATTGCGAGTTCTTACCCGGTGTCTAAACATATTGGGGAAAAAATATTTTTTCCCCAATATGTTTAGTAAAAGTATTTTTTCCCCAATATGTTTGGGTCTTCAACCTGCCTGAGCGAATGTCTTCGCCACAGGGTCGTCGCCGTTTCCCAAGCAGTCTGAGTGAAGGCTCATGGTTGTGGTCGTGCCGCTCTTGCTCGAAGCAAAGACATATTGTAAGCTCCAGCTTTTGAAAGCTGATATGTCACCACCGAATGCGCAGGTGAGCTGAGAAGAGCAATTTGGAAATGCTTCCTAAGATCAGCCGTGCCATTGACATGGACACCAACGGAAACTGAACAAACAACATGTCACGGTCATCACTGCAGCCGCACTGCCGCGGTCGGCTTGAATGCAAACCACCAATCAACCTCGGGAGTTCACTCTCCCCTACCGGGTTATGGCTAAGAAAAACCAGCCAATCGAATACTTGTCGCATGCTGCATATATATATATGTATATATATATATATACATATATACATATATATATATATATTGCCTCCACAAGTACCGTTAAACAAAAATTGCTTCCAATGCAACAGGTTGTGTTCGGGTTGCCCTTCAACTATACACGACATCAGCACAAGCCGAGTCACCTCAGAACCATCACCCAGCAAGGGCACCGGGGATCCAGAACTCCGCACACCAAGCTCGGTAAGAAGCCGCCTCGCCGGTCAAATCCATGTGCAAGCAGAAGCGTTGCTGCGGACACAGACCAACGAAGGCATCTGAAAATGCAACACTTCGGCTGTTCAAAATAGCCCGCAGGTTTCTGCACAACAACCGGTTGAATCGCGTAAGGCTGACGAAAAGCTAAGTTGCTTCGGGAAGGCTTCAGCCAGGCCAACCACATGCGTCATGACGACGATGCAGAACAAAGCACAAAGCAGCTTTACGCCAAGGCATCCTCCTGTGAATGATCAGAATAAAGCTTTGGGCGAACGGCACATCCCTTTTCTTACGCTGCATAGTCAGCATCGTACATATGCTTTCCTTTCGCGTTGGCAGCTGCCGGTCTTGAAGTGCAGGTCTGGTCAGGGAAACTAGCCTGCGCAGGGAACGGCTCTACAGCGCGGAAAAAGGGGCGACTCTTGAGACACCTAACCTGGCCTCGGCGCCATTTGTTCTCATTTCGCAACACACATTCAGTTTCCGAACTGCCATCAGCCGCTGGCTGCAGAAGCCAACAGAAAGCTGCGGTGAGAGTGGATAAACTGACTGTTGAGATTCAGGTACATGAATGGCGTGAACATGCAGCAAAGCGACACCCAACAGTGTTAAGAGTTTTAGCGGCTGCTTGCACGTCCACTTCAACTTACTACTGTGCGAAGCACCATCAGCCAAGCCATTGCCTGCCATCAGGCAACTCAGGCATCGGCTGGCCTGCGACAGCATCGCAAGATGGCTCCACGCTTTCACGGGCACCGTATAAATCACTTTGTGCAGAAGGCACCTGCTTGGCAGAAGCCGTTCCTGATCACGATCAAAACTGACTGATATGCTGCTCGGCTGTGATGGGCGCGGTGTCTTCAAACAGCTGCCCATATAGCACCCACATCTCTGAATTTCTCATCTCGGGCTTGTCAATCACGCTGAAACACCCGGTGCTGAAACAACAACTGTGGGAACGGTACATCGAAGTGCCGGTTGTGTTTGAGGTTCGTTCCTGTTCGTGCAGGATCGAAAGGCTGATACTTCAATGTGGGTGTACTGCTGGACTTCACCAGTTGTGCTTGCCCACTGACGTTGCGTGCAGCGGACGAAGGCGATGCAAGGGGAATTTGCCGCTCGGGTCTGATGCTGGTCGAGTCAGGCGTCCGACAGACTGGCGGCAAATCTGCGGGCATGGCATAGACTCGACGGATCCTCTCGGCTGTGCCTTGTGTACCGCAGTGACCATTGCTCCCGATCTTCTTGAGCAAACGACCACCTTGCCGATCTGTCGCCAAGCTTTCTGCCAGGAAGGCTGACACAACAGCTGGGTCCAACATCGACATGGCGAGCACGGGATCGGCAGAAGGGTGGCAATAGCTCAGGCTGTGATGCACCCTCGGAAACAAATCTTGGGCACATACATGCAGTCAAGCTTCGTGTCAAGCTTGCAGAATCAGGGTTCAGCAAGCGATCGTCAGCATAATGCAGTTGCTGCACAGAACCTGAAACTTAAACATGCTCTCTGACTGCATGCATGATCGACTCACAATCCAGATAGCTCCTGCGCGTCCGCCTGTCATATCCCTCAAAACATCAAGACTGACTGCGATGTGGCGCGCTGAAGCAAGCTCTGGTTATGTCCGGGTTTGGGGGCAACTTGGGACCATTGTCTGTCTGCAAAATTCACGCAAAATGCCGGTGGCTCATGTTTTTCCAGAACATACAAGGTACCGCAACCACCTGGCCAACAGCCAGCAAATCGCTGAGATGAGGGGAACCGCAATTGACGTTGTCAGTGCCAAACAATGACTGGGGCATCCAACGCGGGGTGCAGACACAGACACAAGCAGCCCCACATTTAGCTCGAAGGGATATCTCCGTCTCTTTCTCTCTGCCTTTCAACTACACTTATCCATCCACTTATCTGTCTGCCTTACTATCTAACTATGTACCTGTGTACGTATGAACAACCTGTCTACCCAGCTCTCTATCTACTTACCTACAGTGTTTACCTACCTATCCACCTATCTTTACGCCAGTATATCCTTACCTGTATAGACCTAAGCCTTCATCTCTAGCTGCAGCTCTCGCTCTAGCTCCAGTTCTGCCTCAGCCCCTGCCTCTAGCTCGAGCTCTAGCTCCAACCCTGTCTGTATCCCTAGCTCTGTCTCTGTTTTTCTTCTATCCCTATCCTCCATCCTCCATTCTGTATCCTCTATCTCTGTCCCCATCTCCAGCTCCAGCTCGATCTCTATATCAATGTCCATGTTCATCTCTATGTCTATCTCTATCTCTGCCTATCCCGATCTCGATTTCTAACCTTTTTTTTCGACCGACTTAATTTTTTCCATCTCCATCTACGTCTCTATATTTCCATCGGTCTCGCTCTGTCTCTCTCTCTCTCCCTCCCTGTCTTGCTTGCATGTAGACACGGCGGGGGGCAACCCTCCCGTGCACTGTATCCGTGTCGTAACTACAAATTGATGAGGCATGGGTCTGTTCCTCCCTCCCTCCCTCCCTCCCTCCCTCCCTCGCTCTCTCTCTCCCCCTCTCTCTCTCTCTCTCTCTCTCTCTCTGTCTCTCTCTCTCTCTTTCTCTCTCTCTCTCTCTCTCGCTCTCTCTCTCTCTCTCTCTCTCTCTCTCTCTCTCCCTCTCTCTACACATATATGTGTATCACGTGGAGACAATGCGGCCACGCTCTTGCAGAACAGCACACGCCATCGCAAGGGCCCAGTACGTTGCTGGCGCGTGGCGAATGCATGCCCATACGGAAATGCAGTTGATGCAAATCGGAAGCAAGATCAGATCACCCGGGCACGTAAGGTTCGGGGCGTGGATGTAACAACAATAACCCGTCATGGTGCGGCAAGTGTGGGGTACAGTATGAGGAGAACACCTGTTGAGTGGTCAAACTTGGATATGTGTCACGAGTGGAGCTTTCCAAACTCGAATTTTTGAGATTTTGAACGTATTACATGTTGGACTAGATTCGAAAGTTTGAAAGCTTGAAAAGTTTGGACAATGAAAAATCTGAAGTTTGAATACTTGAGAGTTTCGAGTTTGAAAGTGGGCGCGAGTTTCGAGTTTGGAAGTTTGAAGAGGAATCCAGCTTGGAAGTTTGAAGCCGCGGCATTGCGCGAGGGAGCAAGGCGAAGGAACGCTGGAGACGCGTAGGGGTTCAGAGTTCGAAAGTTTGAGAGAGCTTGGAGTTTGAAAGTTTGAAACCCAAGAAGCTTGAAAGATTGAAAGCTTCGTAGTCTGAAGATTCGAAAGTTTCAATCTCTGGGGGGGTTGAAGGCTTTCAAACTTCGATAGTTTTGAAAGTTTGAGAGACGGGGGGTTTGAATGTTTGAGACGTTCAAACTTTGAGAGTTTGGGAGTTTGAAGGTTTGTAAGTTGGACGAGTTTGAAGATTGAATGCATTCAAAGTTTTGAGTTTGCTACGATGTTCGATTTACATAGACAGAAACAGTGCTAGAAAAACAGATAGATAGACAGATAGATGGATAGATAGATAGCTAGACAGAAGGATAGATGAATAGTACGACAAAAAAATATTGAGATAGGTAGCGCGAATGGACAGATAGATCGATAATGACTACCCTCTGCTGGGGGGGGGTTGGGGGGGGGGGGGTAATAGGAGGCAGCCACCTATTATTTTGGCATGGTGATTCAGTACTGATTTGGGGAGGGTTAAAAGGTTAAATCATCCTAAAAACCCAAAATCCCTAAACCGTCATGATGGTTAAGGGTCTAGGGATATTAGGGATTAGGGTGTAGGGATCAGGGTTTCAGGGATTGGAGATGAGGGTTCAGCGTATGGGTTATATGCGCTTTACAGTTCAGAGTTTGACTTCGGGATTTTGGGGTTTAGGTAACCCCAGACCCTAGAGCCCGTAGGACCG